TATCCGTCATTTTGGAACCACCTAGAACTGGTCAATAGTATTGTGGACCTCTTTCCCCATTAATCACTTGCGCCCCACAAAAACAATCTCCTGCTACCGTATATTTATTTCACATTTCCAACTATTAGTTGAAGTAACACATTTGCCAACGGAACGACAGCAGTTGAGAACAAAGCTCACTAACCACCTGAAATCTTAGATAAAGGCTTGTAGTGGTGGCTCTCTTAAAAAGGCCTCCAAAGCCTCAGTATGGTCGGGGGTGGGTGTCTAGGTCACCCTGCCCTTGCACCTCACGAAATGCTCCCATACGACCAAACGTCTCAAATAGCCTCTGCTGAGGAAGCCCTACTCACTGCCTTCTCGCGGCGATGTTTTCCCACCAAAGTGAGAGGACGAAAAGCCGAAATCTGGGGCTATAGCCGGGTTGGTGGACCACTGGCAGTTCACCTAGGGGAGTTGACCCAAATCCCTGATTTCAAACCAAACATGGAGGCGTACGAACCAAACCCGCACCTTTTCGGTTGTGGCAGTGGTCACCGGCTCGATTGGGCATCTTGGACGTCTGACCCCGTCCGAAGGGCGCGCGATCCGATGAACTGGACACCGGCTCCCAATGGACTGCAGATTTCACACACCACTCCGCTGCCTTGTGGGTCAGGCTTTGGCAAGCTGAAGGCTCCGGTTGTGAATTCCTCAAGCCACAAGCCAATCATGGGGCTTTTTCTTTTTTACAAAGACTATTGTATCATGGTTTGTTTGGAACACAGTCTATCCTCCGACAAATGTGAATATATAATATATCTCTTAAAAAAAGAGTTCTGTTGAGGCTACATCATGACCGCCTCAAAATGCACATTATGTTACCTAGGTGCTATGGCGGAGTACATATTCCGGTCAAAAACGAACCACTCGGGACCTGTTATTGTAGACTCGAGTATTGAACCTTTTCTTTCGCATTTGATGAGCATCGGATTCACCATCATCATCATCGTACAGCGAAATACAGTGCAGTGAACTTCACTGATCGCTGCCAAACTTGCAATGCATATAAGGTTAGCGGTAGGATCTACCGTACCATTTCAAGCATTTTAACCTGATAAGGAACGACAACAACGACACTGTTGTCATATCCTTCAAAGCCTTGAACCAACCGGTTGTGGAGTCTTTCGGACCCCAACCTGGAAGGCTGGAGACACCTCTGCATAATCGCTTTGTGCATTTCTTCAGGCCTCGTCCCAACGTCACCTGTTGACCTCCGCATGGCTTACACCAGCCCGGATTAGCTTCAGAAAATAAAGCGCGGTGCGGCAGAGGACAGCTGGCCATACGCAATACGTGCCCTAGCCCCCGATGCCTACTGATGTAAATTCGGTGTGCTAGCAGGCTTATTCATGACAGACTATCAAACACACGACTTCCAGATTACTAACCCGTTCGCTCCACCCCACGTGAGCTAAACTACGTAAACACCGATAAGCGAAAATCTCTAGTCGATGGATATCTTCCACTCGCAAATTCACGGCCTCACGACTATGAAGCAGAATTAAACGAATGGTGACACTGTATATACAAGACCTTTCAAATTCAGTGAAATGTCGCGCCTACGTCAAAGGTGTTTCAGTCCTGCATATGCTGCTCGACCCTTGGAAATGCGGGTAGTTATCTCTTTTGCTGCGCTACCGTCATTGGTCAAGCAACTATCTAAGTGAGAAAAGTAATCCACCATAACTAAATCCCGGCTATTTAGTTTCAGAGCGGGAATAGACAAAACCCAGTTCTGCAGCACCACTTTGCACTTTGAAGGTGCAAAGTACATACCGGATGTGGCACCTGCACTTGTTAGTGGTGGTTTTCGCAGTCGTTGAGAGATCCTTTCTTGAAAATGAGAACGATCACTGGTTTGCCCCAGAAGAAAGAATGCGCTCTTCAGTTCAAATGTTACGCATTGGGCTAGTAATAGAGGTTATGAGGTTATCATCTCTCATCTTGACAAG